TCTAGAACAGGGGTGGGCAAACTTTTTGACTCGAGGGCCACAATGGGTTCTTAAACTGGACCGGAGGGCCGGAACAAAAGCATGGATGGAGTGTTTGTGTGAACTAATATAAATTCAAAGTAAACATCATTACATAAAAGGGTACGGTCTTTTTTTTTTTTAGTTTTATTCATTTCAAACGGGCCGGATCTGGCCCGTGGGCCGTAGTTTGCCCACGGCTGGTCTAAAACGTGATTCAGACACCATCATTCCCCTGTGATGGCTTCCATCAATCTTAGACTCAAACTCCTCATGATGGCCCATAAGAGTCCATGAGCCCCAGCTGGTTTAGCTCAGTGGGTAGAGTGTCAGCCTGTGGACTGAAGGGCTGCGGGTTTGATTCCGGTCAAGGGCATGTGCCTCAGTTGCTGGCTCGATCCCCGGCTCCCGTTGGGGCACCTATGGAAGGCAACCCATCGTGTCTCTCTCACATTGATGTTTCTCTCTCTCTGTTTCTCCCCCTCTCTGCTAATCTCTAGAAACCAATGGAAAAATATTCTTGGGTGAAGATTAACAACAACAACAACAGAAATCTATGGGATCCGCTTCACCTGCCTCTTCCACTCATTCCATACCTCGTTCTCCTCCCCCAGATCCCGGTCCCAGGAGCGTCCTTGCTGTTCCTCCAACACACCAGTCTCTGCCCTGCCTCAGGGCCTTTGCACTGGCTACTTCCTCTGTTGAGTGTTCCTTCTCCAGACCTCTGTATGTCCACCTCCTTCCCACTGCTGGAATTTCTCCTTACATGAACCTCCTCACAGAAGCTTGCCCTGTCCACCCACAGTAAAATAGTCCTTTTCTCTAGTATCGCCCTGTTTTAACTGTCTGCCTCACTTTTCACCATCTGTGATAATCTTGCTTTATAATTTGCTTAAACTTTTATCACCCCACTCAGTTCTTACTCTAAGAGCCACTAGAACTGCCGTCTCCCTGGAACCGTGCCTGGCGTGTAGGAGGTGCTCAGTAGATACCTGTTGACTGAATGAGCAAGCGGAGATGGACTCTCACTCCTGAGTGAGGCAGCCCGTTGCATTTTGGGAAACTTCCATTGATTAGAACTAACCAGAGATGGCAGGGAGAGGTTTTGTTTCAGGTACCAGGGCCAATTGGTGGGTAGTGGCTGCCTGGATTGAGAAAGGATTTGTTATCACAGTTGACCTCTGTAGGAGAGAGAGAGAGAGAGAGAGAGAGAGAGCAGTGATTGATTAGTAATGTCTGCCGTGGGCATTAAGGCACCAATAGCGGTATGTGTGCCACATATCTGCCAAACCTGGGTTAGACTGGAAGCCTCCTTGAAAGACGTAGGGGCTTCTTATCCTCCTCTGTAACTCGAGTGCCTGTCACGTGCTAGGTGCTTGGTCATGACTGATGTGGGCTGTCCGCCCGCTGGGAATTGTTCAGCTTTGAGGCTCCCGCTCCTGAAGAGACAGGAGAAAACACCAAAGCCAGTGGCTTTCCATCTTTTTTAAACCTGCAGTGTTCCTTCTTCAAGGGACATCTTACATATCCTGGCATATGTTAGCAGACAAAAGCAAAGCTGCTCCGGCTGAAGCTGGGTTTGGGGCTTAGAGCCTCAGCTGGCTGCACCCCCACCTCCAGAGACAATCCTGGGACACCTTCAAGGGACCTAATGGCTCCCCAGAACCCAGTCTGAGGCCATGGGTGAGGAAACCAAGGTCCAGAGAGGGGAAATGACTTACCCAAGGTCACACGGCAACTCAGAACTGCAAACGGAGGTGCCATCCCAGGGACTCCCAGTTTAGTGCTCTGTCACCTCTCCAGGGTCTCGATGGGGCAGGCAGCCTCGGCTTTGGGCTGGGCCTGGAGGCCAGGAACCGACATGCCTCATGTCCTTGAGGCTGGGTGGACACCTGAGCCACCTCCTCCCAGACCCTGGGAGAGGAGCTCCCGCCCCTCCCAAAAGGGGTTTATCGTGCTCCGGAGCCCCTGGCCGCGGCATTGAAAACAGCTCCCTCTCCCTGACTGCTTTATTAATTAAAGCATTTCCCCTCCTCGGTAGCAGCTGCATGGAAAGAGCTCAGGGAATGTTTAATTCATCGGTTCAGAGCTGGTGCCCCCCACACCCCCCAGCACCTCCTTCCTTCAAAGCGCTTTCCTGGGAAACCCTCCCAGCACCAGGGCTGTTTCCCTGCTTCTCCCGGAGCCACCGAGCTGCCTTTCCGCTGGCTTCTCCCTCCGCCAGCGGAAGGTGATTTGTTATTCAGCTCGAGAAATCTATTAGGAACGAGCGAGGCTGGGTGCAAGCCCAGGTTCTCCGACTGGAGACGGTTTCAAAGGCCACAATTTGTCGAATTACTACATGAGTATTTAATGGTCATCTTCCTCGGCCGTTTAGAGGCAAAAAAATGAGGGTGTTGATTACCCAGCGATGCCAATCCGAGGCCCTGCCTTCCCAAGGTGGGGCGGGGTGCTGCGGGCTTGGGGCTGTCTCTAGGAGGGAACCTGGGGGAACAGCATCTGGGGGGCCCCCTGTCCTCTTTACAGCTGTGGTCAGTGGAATGAAAGGACCATGTCACCCACGGGTGACTGCAGGCCCATCTCCACCAGGGCCGTGTGGGACCGGTGAACAGGTGACTAGCTTAGGTGGGAGCTTCTAGCTTAGGGGGGAGTCCCCCACTCCCCCAGGATGGGCCTGCACATGTGCCGGAGCTGCCACCCAGTTTCCTGGGAGACCCAGTTTGGACTTGGCGGTTGGATCTGTACAAACCCTCATGACGGGGAGCAGCGAGCCCCTTTTCCTCCTCTCGTTGGCCTTGTGGGTGGGAGCGATGTGTGTGGCCTTGGTCAGTCTGTCTCCTCACTTGTCCCCTCCCTGAACCCCCGGGGGCTCCTGTGCACAACCCCTTCCATGAATGTGTCCCGGGTCACATCCAATTCCTCTTCCTCTCCCACCCAGGGGAGCCCAACAGGACGTGGCGACATCATGTCGCCCGAATGTGTAACAAGGAGCAGATGCTGAGCAAACTCGGGGACTTCAGGGTGTCAGGAGCCGAATATCTGGGCACGTCTCACCAGGGACGGGGACACAGCAAGAACCTCAACCCTGGGCTCAGGATCCCCCAATCGGCCAGCCTGGGCCCCTCGCTGAGTAATTCGCCCAGCAGCTGGCCCTGCGCCCTGGAAACACTGGGACATGTTAACTAGACATGGGAGAAACGGCGGTAAGAGGAAACCGCCCACCCAGCATGCAGGCGCCGTGTGAAGCAGCCAGCGGCGGCGGCTCACTGACTTCTCAGCCAGCTCTGGGAGTGGGGGCCATTTCGTGGACGAGTAAACTGAGGCGGGTTGAGAGTATGTACCTGCTCGGAGGTGCGCAGTATCGGGTGGTGTCTGGATTTGCACTGGGTCTGTCTGTCCCCATGTCCACACCGCCCCCAGGGATGGCTACCTTAGACCCAGCAGGGCAGCTTTGGGTCGACTCCTGCCACACCGGGAGGCCGAGGGAGCAGGCCTGGTGTTGGAGGAGGGGCGAGGAGGTCAGCGTGGCTGCAGCAGAGAGGAGAGGGGACGGCAGGGGAGGTGAGGCAGGTCAGGAGGGGCCCAGAAGTCTTCAGAAGGACTCTGGCTTCACCCTGAGGGAGGTGGGGGCAGTGAGAGATCCAGGGGCGGTGCTGACGTGCTGCCTGCCACGGGCAGTGCCTGCTAAAAATTAGTTATTTGTTATTCCTTATAATGGCTACTTTTTTTGTAATGGGGCCGAGCGGGGTCCTGGTGCCGCCTTGGAGAGATACTCCCTCCTGCTCTGGAAACAGCTGGACGCTGGCCCCACAGCGAGGGAGCTTCCTCCTGGCCTTGCGGTGGGAGACTGCTCCTTCGTGCTGCTTCCCACTGAGAACAGCGGCTTCGGTCAAATGCGGGCTCCCTTCCCTGGGCAGGAAGGGGGGGAAAGTAGGAGAAGAAGGGGGAAGAGAGGAGGAAGCGGGAAGGAGAGAGAGGAGGAGGAGTGGGAGGGCTCAGGGAGGGGTGATAAGGGAAGAGGCTGGAGGGTGCAGGGCGGGGCGCGCTCTCTGGGGGTCAGAAGGTCAGTCAGCCCCTCCGCTGGGGGATCCCCACGCGGCTCTCTCCCAAGGGGGCTCTGCCAGGAGCCTCAAGCAGCGGTTATTTTGGGTGGCAGCGTGATTGGGAGCTTGGAAAGCAGAAAATTGAGTGGTGATTAAGGTCGTAATAAGTTGACAACATCAAATATCATTACCCCTAGAACATGCAAATGATCCCTTCTTTACCCGGGATTTGCCATGCAAATACCAATTAGCAGCAAAAGTGTTTGCCTAGCTAGGGGGGAGGCCGTTCTCCTGCCAACGCCCCTCTCACCGCCCCTGCAAGAGGGTAAACAAGTGGGAGGGGCCCTGTGCCTGAATGTCACCATCAGGAGACGTGAGAATCCACAGGGGAGACGCTGATCCCAGGGAAGGTGCCAGAAACTCTGGCCTCCACCTCCCCTGCCGCAGGCTCTGCCTCGACACTGGGCAGTGCTAGAAGCTTCTTGGGGCCAGCCTCTGCCCCATGTCTGTCCCGGCCATGGCTCACGGTGCAGCCTTTGCAGCCGGAGCATCCCCACTCTGTCGACAGCTCATTGTCTGCGACTGGGAGCTCATAGCTGGTGCTGCCCGCAGAGGAGGGATCTGCCAGGAGACACGTGGCCCCAGGAGCTGGCACTGCTGTGTCTTGGGGACTGACCTCTGAAGAGGCCGGGCAGAGGGATCGGGGTCACTGGATAGGCGCCCCCGGCGTTTCCTTCTCTCGCCAGGTATTTACACCTGGTCTGATGCAGAGGCTCCGGCACTCACACTTGGTGAACGGGGCACAGTCCTGCCCGCACAGGGCTTCCGGTCTCACTTGTCAGGAAGAAGTAACTACGGCCACAGACAGCGCACGATGAGGTGAACGGTCAGCGGTGCCAACAGGAGCATCTTCGGCTCTTTGCAGAGATGAACTTGCCTTTTGCTGTGGTGGCATGAGGAGGTGGCACAGTTTGGGTGGAGCCTTGAAGGAGGAGTAAGTGGAGAGTGGAGAGGGAGGGCATTCTTGGTGGGAAGGATGGTGGGAAGGATGGTGGGAAGGGACCCAGGAGAAAGATTTAGAGGTTGGAAGATGCATGCTGTGCTCTAGGGTCAGTGAGTCTGCCATCCATCCTGTCCAGCCATGCAACTGTCCAGCCCTAACCCACCCATCCAACCCATTATCCAACCCACCAAACCAACTCACCCATCTAACCCACCAAACCAACCCACCCAACCAACCCACCCATCTAACCCACCAAACCAATGCACCCAACCAACTCACCCATCCAACCCACCCATGCAACCCACCCAACCAACCCACCCATCCAATCCACCAAACCAACCCACCAATCCAACCCACTATCCAACCTACCCATCCAACCCACCCATCCAGCCCACCAAACCCCCCC